GGTATATATTTTTTAATGCGTCATTTTCAATACTTACTTATCATCAAACTTCATGAGTCCATTGTTAATGAATTCCTCCAAGGCCAGAGAATCACCAAACACTTTCAGCAGACTGACATCTTCAGAAAACTGTCTCCATCTCACATCTTGGATACCATGTCTTGTACGGAGACCTACCATCAGTAGTTCTTCCAGACTGAAATGAAGAGTACATCCAGAGATTACAAATGTATATGCAAATATGGGAGAAACAATTATTAATTAAAAAAATCTAGGTTATAATAATAGACACAGTCTATTTTTTACACATGAAACTAAATTTGTAATTTGTTTGTTTTGCTGGCTGTTCAAGCATCTGAAGAGAAAACTTACGTTCACATAATATATACATATCACATCAACCGGACTATTTGTTTTCAAGAAGCATAAAATTCACTAAAATTCGAGAAGGTATATTGTTATAAAAAATTACAAGAATTGGATAAAAACAATATTTACAACTTACATATCTATTTTGGTTTGTGTAGTACATTTTCTGGTTGCATGTCCATAATTTTCAACTTCTCTCATCCATGGTTCTGGTTCCAATGTCTGGATTCTTGCTTCTCGTTTATTAACATTTTTCCTACAAAATCGCCCATGTGCACCTGATTAAAAAAAAAATGAATAAAGTTACAAATTCAAGTAAATATATAACCCTTAGCACATGTATAACATGTATTAGGTAATTTAGGTACAATACAATTAATAATATTTAATATAGAATTATAATTTTTTTTACTGCTAATGATAAAAGAGATTATTGAGATTCCAAAATTTTCAGTTTGACCAATTTATTTTTTTGCAAATGATTGGTCAATTGTTTGTGAAATAAACGTCTTAAGTAAGTATATGTAAGTATTTCAGTGAAAAACATGAATGGAAAATTTGGGGGAAAAATTTCTGTTGTTGCCCTGATTCAAAAAATACTATTTCAAAGACCAATTGATTTTCCAAAACAAAACCAGGCCTGTGTTTAAAGTAATTTTAGTTTACATATATTTTGTAGATTGAATTACAAAAAATTATTCACACATTGTTATTATTATTTGATTATCAATCAGTACTTGCGATATGATTCTTTTTTTCACTTGCATGTTTATTTACATGGCAATGATTAACTTTTAATCTTCAATATTTATTTTGTTCACCCTATGTGAACACTAACATCAAAAAAATCTGTGGTTAATGAGATTTAGTAGACAGTTTGTATACTCACCAGGTCCAACACCAATGTACTGTCCTCCATTCCAATAGTTTTTATTGTGAACACTTTCTGCTCCAACCTTAAATTTGAATAAATTCACCAACTTAGAAAGGTAAAAATAACCACAAACATACAGGGATTTAAAAATAAACCTGGTACGAGAAACATAACAATATCAATTCCTCAGCGAACTCCTACTAAACCACTATTTCAAAAATTGAGATGGGTGACTGTGATGGATAGGGTTTGATTACCGGCACTCTGTTATGGTCTATAAACCATTAAATAATCTTGCTCCAGCTTATATGAGACAAATATTTAAATTGACCAGAGAAGTCAGCACTAGGTATACCAGAAATTCAGACAGATCCAAGTTACACTTGGCTCCTCGTAAAATTCTTAAAGTATATTCAGATAGCTTCCAATTCTCGGCTGCTTAATTTTGGAATAAAATACCTCTATCAATTCTTGATAGCGACTCAATTGGAGTTTTTAAAAGTACCTATTTTAAATGGTTCATGTCAAAAATTTAGTTGTTATGTAATATTTCTGTACTTCTTTATTTAAAAATGTATTACTAATTTCAGTATATAGTACTCATTTTTGAGGAAATGTTTGAGATAAGCCTATGGCGTAACATGTTTTTATCCTCTTTAAATAAAGTCTATTCTTATTAATATCAAATGACAGAAAACACCAAATTAGAAAAAAAAGATCTATGGAGGAAAAACATTTTATAAAGTCATGTTCACTACCAGTATATGGCATACAGAAAGAAATTTACTAGAAATTGATAAGCATATATAAATATTTCCATAAACAATCACAAGATCTTAAATCAAATGAAAGGCAAAACATTATGATCTGGCAAAATTGATTAAAAATACTTTTCTAAAAAGATATGTTTTTTACTTGTGTATAGCAGTTTTCTTTAATCTTTTTTATTTTATGCTATTACTTTAGCTCTGTGTTTTTTCTTAGTGTTTTCTGAAATTAAAGTTACAGTGCAATAATTCTGTGAAGTGGGAATACTTTGGAGCCAGCTTACATTTTTTGCAAAGTTTGAGACTTCATATCTTGTGAACCCAGCTGCTTTTAACGTTTCCACTGCCATTTCATACATATCTGCCATAGTGTCATCATCTGGAATACTCTAATAGTGAAGGAAAACACAAATTAGTGTCACTAATTACCTGAAATGACAACACATTAAGTGTCACTCTTACCCAAATGTAATGAATAATTGATAATTGTTCGACTTTTTTGAGATCCTGCTGGTTGCGTGAAATCAAATCTAAAAACAGCACAAAAATGTCAGGCAATATGCAAGATTTCGCGGTGAACAGAAATCCACAATATTTACAGCATAATATTTACGACGTCAAAAGATCGATGTTGGATAAAAAACTTATTTCCTTTAGTTTGGGGGTGGGGGGTTTTGACCTCAAAAAGTTTCCATCCTACAAAAACAATTTTATTTTTTAATGAAGTCAAAAAAATCTGGGAGTATTTGTAGTTCATTTTTTTCTATCCAATCATGGAAATAACCGAAAAGGAAAAAAAAACACATCCAGAAAATGGTTTGGTTCGAGTGTAAATCTGTGCGTCAAATGTATCAATTTGAATGTTGTCTGACGCCATGACCAATATATATCAATTAAGTGTCAGTGGGGGGTAGGGGGGTTTGGAAAAAAACTAAAGGAATTAAGTTTTTTATCCGACATCGATCTTTTGACGTCGTCCCTAACCGATGTGCATAATGGTATTATTGATCTCAAAACTTTTCGAAAGATCTGAGCACAACTTTAAATAACGGGATGAGACTTTAACTAAGCATATTTTTAGTAACTCTGTTATGAAAGATTCATAGTTTACTTTCAACAATCTTACAACAGTTGAATGTGTATGTTGTATTTCACAAAATCTGATAATAAGAAATTGAAATGAATTCCTACCAGATCTCCTTTCGACAACAACTTGAATAAAGCAGTTCCTCTTTCGAGTGTGAGCTGATACAGAGATATATGGTCGTCAGATAAAGAAACAATCTGCAAATTAGAACAAAAATCCTACATTCTGAGCACTACCAATACATTCCAATTGTTGAACTGTAACTGACTAAAACCTGTTAGTGTATATGTTAAAATATAATTGATTACAGGTGACAACTTTAATATCATTCTTGTCTTTTATGACTTTTTTTGTAAGTGTTGTGTTGAGTGATAACCATACACTGTAGAATACTTTATTTTCGCTTGGAATTAATTTTTGCTATTTTCGCTGAAGGAATGATTCAGTGAAAATAAAATCCAGCGAATATACCTTTTTTCTTATATTTTACCTGTAAATTGTGAAAAACCAATGAAAATAAATTCCATACAAAGCACCAAAAATGTCTTTACAGCGAAAATTAATTCCAGCTAGAATAAAGTATTTTCCAGTAATTTGCTCATTTTTCCATGTAAAACATTTTGTATATCATGAACAGAAAAGTGTGTGGTAATCTTTTTATTGAATAGCAAATGCCATCCACCATTTGAACAACCACAACACTACAGGTGCCACATTTTGCAGTATTTTATAACGTAATTTTCCATTGACAATACTGGTCTCAATCAAAATGTTTGGAAAAAAATATGAAAAAAATCCATGTTTTTATATTATGAATGGTGTGGAAGTTGACTTTGGCAGTCACTGTGTTAAACAAACCTGCTGCAATTCTTGTTTCCATTCTTCAACTGTCTGTCCATGCCTACCAAATATTAGATCCAATGAAGTACATCCTGGGTATAGAATTTTAGCTTCTTCAATACATCTATAAGTAAATATACTGGATATCTAGATATTTTTAAATGTTAGTTTTGTCAGCACAGTTTTCAGAACAGTGTGTGTGCATATTTTATTATTTCCCTGTTCTCTGTTGTTGTTTTTTTACATCATCCGAACTAGACAAATATTAATTAAACATTGATTGCAATTGATCGTAACATAGGAAACCTTCAACTATGACTAAGCATGCCAAATAATTTTGACAATTGTTTTAATTAATTACTAGCTTTTATCGGTAAATACAAAGATTTCTAAAAAGTGGCTGTTATTCAAATGTGAACATTTGTAATTATGCGAGCAGCTACATTCTGCTACATAGATGAGTTGGCAACCCTTTAATATTGTAGTACTGTAAAATCTGTATTAGAAGCTGCGGCTTCTATTAAAATGGTACAATACAACACAGGGGATGTGGTTTCTATTAAGAGCATCTACACATATGAGAAATGGTGAATTTTTGGTTCTCAATTGTTCAAAAAGAATGGGTGCGACTGCGGTTTCTAATACAGATTTTACGGTAATGCTTACTTCAATGAGTCTTCCACTGTGTGATCTCTACCAAGTGTCTTTAAATCTTAAATATTGTACTAATGCTTACTTCAATGAGTCTTCCACTGTGTTATCTCTACCAATGTCTTT